CATCCATCCATCCATCCATCCATCCATCCATCCATCCACATGCATGTATCCATCTATCCAACAGTTCATCCATCCACTTACTGTCTTGGATCCATTCATCTCCCACTCATCCATCCAAAGCCGCACGCCCCTCATCTGTCTACTCACAACCTTCCATCCACCCACTTACCCGCAGCATCCCTCTCTCCCTCTCTCCTTCCTCTCCTCTCCTTCACCCCACTGGTCATTTATCTATTTACCTATAAAGTCACTTATCTCACCTCCATCTAGTACTTCTCAGAAGTCTAATTCAGAGGTGATGTAATTGCTGTTCACTGTCAAGGAGCATGCAGGCTTAAGGAGACACCAAGAACACAAGCACAGTTTCTTACACAGAGGGTTAAACAGCATGTAGGAGTCATGCCCTGGCCAGAACCCCGTGTCTCTGGTCAAGCTCTTGTCCCAGCCTCATGGAAAGACCCTGTGTCTTTCCTGCCACTTCCTCTTGCATATTTCAGACTGTCCTTTGGAGCTCCAAGTTTGACTTGCAAGGTAGATGGACATGCTGGCTAGTTTTACTTGACATGCACAGATAGTTATTTGGGAAGAGAAACTTTCCCTGTGTTTGCTTTTGTTTTTAAGAGACAGGGTTTCTCTGTAAAGCCGTGACTGTCCTGGAACTCTTTCTACAGACCATGCTGGCCTTGAACTCAGAGATCCATCAGCCTCTGCCTCCTGAGGGCTGCATTTAAAGGCATGTACCACCACACCTGCCTTGGGTAGACGAACTTTTAATTGAAAGAATGCCTCCATAAGGTTGGTCTATAGGCATGTATGTAGTCTATTTTCTAAATGATTGATGTGGGAAGGCTCAGTACACAGTAGGTGGTACAACCCTTGGGCTGGTGGTCCTGGGTGATATCAGAAAGCAAGATGAGCAAGCCATGAGGAGCAAGCCAGTAATTAGCACCCTCCATGGCCTCTGCATCAGTTCCTGCCTCCAGGTTCCTGCCCTGACTTCCCTTAGGATGGCTACCTGGAAATGTAAAACAAAATAAACCCTTTTCTTCCCAAGTTGCTTTTGGGCATGGTGTGTCATCATAGCCACAGAAACCAACAAAGACAATGAACTTCTGACCCAGTTCCTTCTCAGGCTTCACTTGGGCTAGTAAAAGGAACCCCCAAGATCCACTTAGCCCTATGTGACTGGAAGGGCCTGTGTGTAAAGCTGATCCTCTGGACTCCAGGCCATTCCCAAGGCCAGCACAGGGGAGTGTAGTAGTTGGTTCTGAAAATCAGAACCTGATTTGGCCTTCTGATGGAGTAGGTATCTTTAGGACTGAAGTTGCCTGGCTTTGCCTCTAGCTGCCTGTCAGGCTTTGGGAAAGACTCCATTTCTACCCACAACAATGTTCCGTTATCGGATGCTTTTCCAACTTCTATTTTGCTGCCAGTGGAGTCCTCTCGGCAGGGCGACCCACTGATGAGTAAAGACAGCAATCCTACCACATGCTCCCCACACACCAGGCCTTGAGATGTCACCTGCCACTCACAAACTCACTTTGTCCTCACCACAATCCAATCCTTTTCCCTGAGAAACAGATTGAGAGGTAGAGTAACTTCTTTTGTTCACACAGCTAGGGAAGGGTTTGAAGCCAGGCCAGCATAGGCATTTTAATCACTACCTACTTATATCACCAGCTCCCATGCTAATGGATGTTAGCCCACAGCAAAGAGAACTAACGGTATGCCCGAGCATTTCTGGAAAGACCCAGAAAGACAGGCACATGGGTCCTAGGGTGACAAGCTTTGTGACATAGCAAGGGAGCCTATTGCCCGAGAAGTGAGTGGGCTCCTAACTTGTTGCTCCAGGCCCTGGGTCCTGATAAGGATGAATATATTCTAAAGGGACATGTGTGCCTCCCTTTGGCTTCTCAGACTACTGAGACAACAGATGCCAAGAAACTGGAAATTTCCCCAGGAATCTTAGACTGTAAGAAGGAAAAAGTCCAGGGCCTGGTGCTAGCCAGAGGGGAGCTAGTCTCTTCCTGAAGAGATCTCACCGGTTCTGACTCATCAGATCATCTTGCTGGACAGATTGGAGTCCAGACAATGATAGATTAGTGATGGGTGGGACTGTACCCTAACTAGGTCGGTTTAGTTATGTATACCCCTTACCTTCTATTTAAACAAACCTTGTGTCAGGACTTTGGGTAGGAGTGGGCCTCTAGACCTTTTTGTTCCTCTTGCCAACCTGGCTACACTGGGTAAACCTTCCTTTTCCTGCTATTCTCTAGTAATTTTGTCTTTAATTGGACTACTGAAGATGAGTGGCCAAGCCTGGCTTGTAAGGAGGCTGTCAGTGCCTAGGCTCTGACCCTTCCTATCTCTAGTTAACATGGTTCCTCCCCATCCTCAACAGCTGCACCCTCACCCTAGGCAGACAGTTGACCTCTGACCTTGACCGCTGCCCATCCAAAGACACTACCCCAGTTTCCTGCCAGTCTTGGAAACACTGCTCCATGGAGACTCCCCACTATGCAGCCAGCGGCAGCCCTGCAGCCCTCTAGACATACCCCAGAACTCCCTCTGACTGGAAAGGACTCAAAGGCATCTCAATCCAAGCCCAGCCTGTGGGGCTGTACCTGCATGGCCACTCCCACCACCCTGCTCTGGGAACGGCCTGCTCTTCTCTGCCACATCTGCAGGACAAAATCATTAACAGTGTCCTGGTTATTTTCAGGACGCCCGGGGAACAGAATGAAGCTTCCGAACTGGGGTAAAGAAGGTAAGAATGCTGTAATTTTTGGCATTACACCCTCCTCCCCCCACCAAAGCTTGATCACACATGTTCTCCGACCTACTTTCCCCTTTGTTACTTTGCTTCCCTTAGCCTGCCGCCCCAGGGTGGCAGCCACGCTGCTCAGCTGGTGGAGGGGACAGAAGCTGCCTCCGCCTCCACTCACCAGCCCCGGCCCCACTGTGACTGACTCACAGGCTCCTCAATACCACAGCCCTTCTGGTGGCTCCTTACAGGCCCACACAGACGCACCACAGACACATTCGATGCATGAGAGGGACAGAGCAGGCTCAGGAATAGGAGGGGAGGTCAGGGCTCCAGCACATTTGGAGGGTTGCACAGGATGAGAAGCATCTGGATGGGAGCGAACATCTGGATGGGAAAGGTCTGGTTAATTATCAAAAGGCCACAGTGCTTCTCAACCAAGCAGGGAGCATAGGCCAGTTAGCCATGACGTCTCATTTGGGGGATGTTTCTGCAACACTAGCACCCTCCGAGAGACGCTGTGAGGTGGCTGGTCCTGATACCCCTCCCTGAAACCAGAGTCTTCCCAGCATTTCCCCATGAGAGGGGCCATCGGCCATCCTCTGGAGCTAATCTCCTGATGTGTATACATCGACCAAAACAGTATGGCAAAATGAATAGTGACTGTTCCTAGCTCAGGACTCCAGAGTGCCTGCACAGCCTCTATTCTCTCAGAACCCTCTTGTCTTCCTGTGGACACACCCACACTAGCCTGGCAGAGGAGGCCGCAGCATGCAGAGCAGAGCTGAACCAGCCTAGTGCTCCCCTCCCCCATATCAGCACAGCTGTCCACCTGAGCTGAGAGGCATGAGGAGGGTCAGGAGAGGGGGATGAGGCTCAGCTTAAATGCTCGGTATCCACCCACAGACTCCCACAGAAGTCCGCAGAGGGTCAAGTCCCTCAGATAAAATGATGCAGTAGAACCCATGCATATCCTACTTCAATCCGTCTCTTGATGACTTAGATAGTGCAATGCCAATGCTAAGAAACAGCTGTTTTACTGCATTGCTAGGGTGTAAGGACAAGACATAAAGCCTGCCTGCAAATTGTCAATGTCCATGCAACTCAGTGCTGTTTGGTTTTGCATAAACCCTGTGTCAGGACCCTGAAGGTGGACTTGGGGTGAAGTTTCTAGACTTCTTTGTTCCTCCTAATGTGACCATACTGAATGAAACCTCCCCTTTGCTTGCCTTTCTCTGTCTTCAGCTGGACTACTGAGGACGTGTGGCCAAACTTGACTTGTAGGGAGGCTGTCAGGGCCCAGGCTCTGACGTACATATTTGTGTGTCTATCCATTGGTTTCTGTGTGTGGAGGTGAGTGCATGTGTGCAGATGTGAACACACATTACAGGTGACAGCTGGAGGACATCAGGTGTTTTCCTCAGGAGCCTTCTGGCATGCTGCTTGAGACGGCATCTCTCACTGACATGGGGCCTGATAATAGGCTAGGCTGGCCAACCACCGAGCCCCAGAGGTCAGAGAATAACTCTGTTCTTGGGGACTCGATTCTCACCTTTTATCATATAAGCACTGGAGACTGAACAGTGCTGGCTGGGCCTGGCAGCAAGCCCTCCTTCAACTCGGTGAGCTGCCTGACTGATCCATATACTTGGCTTTTTAAAAGTGAGTCTGAGTATTGAACTCAGGTCCTTGTGTTTGTAAAGCAATCACTCCACCTGCACGGTCTCCCCAGTCCTCTCCTGCGTATTTCTGAGCCAGTGGTGACTGAATCAGTGGGGGCCTGGAGTCTGTTCACACCGGGTGCATACTACATACAGCTGCTCTGAGCTCTGACTTGGAGTAGTTTGATGTGTGGTAAAACATGGCTAGATGTGGTGGCACATGCCTAGCACACAGGAGGCAGAGACAGATGAGTCTCTGAGTCCCAGGCTAGAGATACACAGTGAAATTTTGTCTTGAAAAAAAAACCTATTTATTTATTTTTGAAAGTGTGTGTGTGTGTGTGTGTGTGTGTGTGTGTGTGTGTGTTGGGGGAGATCAATGGCAGGAATTAAAAATAAATATCTAAACCATAGCAATCACCAGTAATAACTAGCAGTGATAATTTCTCTGGGTTTCACAAACATTGCAGCCATGTTAGTAGGAAGTTAGGAGCTGTGCTGCCCATTTTGTGAGCCTCAGAATCAGCAGCTGAGCCAGGTGCCCCACTGTGGAGGATGCTCCTATGCCCACTTACCAGGATCTTAGTGGTGTAGGCGCTGTTGATGGCGATGGCATTGACCAGCAGCTCCATGGTTTTGGCATTGATGGAACTGGGATCAGGGATCTCCTTGTAGTGGACATCGCCGACATAGGCCTGTACCACGGTCATGCGGTTGGTGGTCAGCGTGCCTGTCTTGTCTGAGCAGATGGCCGTGGCGTTGCCCATGGTCTCACAGGCATCCAGGTGTCGTACCAGGTTGTTGTCCTTCATCATTTTCTAGAGAATGGGTAAGTGAAAGGAAAACTGAGAGGAAGAGAGGGTGAGGAGGATGTCCTGAGCTTCAGTCTCCCCTTAACCTTCGGCGTGTGCAAGTGACCTCTGGGCTTCTTTAGCCTTACCTACGGGTCCCCTCCTCCTTTTTACTATTAATCATTTGGACCATTTAAAATTTGGTAATTGAATTTATTAATTTTTACCACAGAAGTCACTCACATTCTGTTTTGGGAACAAGGTCTTATGTAGTGTAGGCTGGCCTGGAACTAGTGATCCAGCTAAGGACAACCTTTAACTCATGATCCTCCTGTCTCCATGCCCCAAGTGCTGGGATTGCAGGTGTGTTCAACCGCAACCTTCTTCATCTCCCCCCCCCCCCCTCTCTCTGTGTCTCTGTCTCTCTCTCTCTCTCTCTCTACACACACACACACACACACACACACACACACACACACACACACATATATATATATTTGTTTTTTGAGCAGGACTTCTCTGTGTAGCTTTGGCTGTCCTGGAACTCACTTTATAGACAAGGCTGGCCTCAAGATCACAGAGATTGCCTCTGTCTCCTGAGTGCTGGGATTAAAGGTGTGTGCCACCACTACCTGTCCATCTATATTCTTAAAAATATCTTTTAGATTTGTTTATTTTATGTGTATGAGTGTTTGCCTGTACATATGTTCTGCATCATGTGTGCATGATGCCCACAGAGGTCAGAAGAGGGCATCAGAACCCCTTGGGCTGGGGTTATAGATGATTGTAAACTACTATGTGTGGGTGCTGGGAACCGAACCTGGGTCCTCTGGAAGGGCAACAAGTGCTCTTCACCTCTGAGACATTTCTCCAGTCACCTCATCTACATTCTTTATGGAAAAAATAGTAGGAACAATTAAAAAAATTAAGGCTAGGCCATTCCTAATTATTCCTAGCTTAATGTAAGTAACCGCTCCTCATTTGGTTCTGAACTTCTCAAATGCTTTCCTGGTGCCTGGTGAGAGACCCATCAATTTCACCCTAAGTAGATACATTTAGGACACATAATGTGCTTACAGATACAGGTGAATATCTGTAAAAAATAGGAAAACAATAATGTAATTATCCCTAGGTGATATAATTACAGAATAGCATTGACTTGTTCACGTCTATACATCACCTTTTCTATAATGGACATTTATTATGGCATGCATAATAAAAACTAAGTGTGTGTGTAGATGTGTGTGCACACACATGTGTATGTGTGAGATGGTCAAAGGAGAAACTTTAGTGTTCTCTGCCATATCTGCTTGCCAGAGTCTATCACTGAACCTGGAGCTCTCTGCATTTTGGCCAGACTGACTGGACAGTAAGCCCCAGCCACCACCCCGTCTCTGCTGAAAGCTCTGGTGATATGGGCACATCCAGCTGGACCCAGCTTTTGACATGGGCACGAGAGTCTGAACTCAGATCCTCAGGCTCACACAGCAAACACTCACACACTGAGCCATCTCCCTAGTTCCAATTAAAACAAAACAAAACAAAACAACAACACAGAAAAGGAAGATAAAGGCTAGTGAAACGGCCCAGCAGGTAGTCACTTGCTGGAACCCAGATGGTGGAAGGAGAGAAATGACTCCAAATTATCCTCTGACTCTCAAATTGTACTGTGGCACATGTGTGTGTGTGTGGGCACACATGTGCTCACACACACACACAATGTAATACAAAAATGCACAACATAGGTTACTGCCTATAGCACATATAGCACACATTTCATTTATAAACATCCTTTTTAAAAAATTTATAGCATTACCCTCCTGAACCTAGTAGTATTTATTTCCCTCCATTTACCTTTCTTTCTGACCCAGTTCTATACTCCCAACTTCTCCTAGATTCTCCCACAAGGAATAAAAATGACATAATTCTCAGGCAGGCCCTGCTGGCATGCTGAGTCCACAGTGGCAAGGAGAGTTTGTGAAATGTCACCAGAGGCAAAATCAAACGGGAGACCGTGTCTAGGGATTTCCTTCATTCTTGTTCCCCCCAGCAACTCTTTATTACAAGGTTAAAAGGAGTGCAACCGGAAAATTTAAATAGAGATTTATTTGACTAAAAATGAATATTGGTAGGATAAAATGTTATTGTGTTTCCCTTTCTTACAACTTGTGATAGTAGCACCAATATGTGTACAGCGAGTGTCTGATCGATGACAATCTGAGTGTGTGACACGTTTTAGTCTATTTTCTGGTGCTGTCTGTCAGGATCCTGTGAGACCTGGGAGGAGCCTGGAAATCCATTTCACAATTGACAAATTCCAGGCAAAGTCAGCTGAGCAAGATCACATTTTATACCCTCCCTATAAGTACACTTGTCTATACAGGCTCATGTGGAGGGTAGACACTGGGGTGTCTTTTCTGTCTTATTTTTTGAGACAGGCTCTCTCACTGAACCTGGAGTTTGCCATGCCAGCTATACCGTCTGGCCAGCATGCCCCTTCAGGATCTGTCTGTGTGGGTCCCCCCAGGGCTGTGGTCACAGGTTCATGCTAACAGGCCTGACTTTTATGTGTCTGCAGGGATCTGACCTTGGATTTTCACACATGGCGCAGAAAGCACTTTTCATGCTGAGATAGTTCCTCAGACCTATTTTTAAAAAGGCTGTTATTAGGACATTTAAAATGATGTTCCTGGATTGTGTGGTGCCCCTGTTAAGAGGTGCTCTTGGTGGTGGCCCCAAGGACAAATTCAAAGGGAAAATATTGGCCTCACTGTTTATCACATGGTTTTGTCAGTCACATGCCAGAGCTAAAAACTTCAGAAGATGCTCAGACCTAAAATCGTCTGCCTATGATGTCCCCAAAGCAACTCTACCAAGCTTCACAGAGTCCCTGAGCTCAGTGGTGTGGCAATGGGAACCTACTTACGGCCATGCAACAGTTAGCCTTGTCAGATGCTGGGACCTTGAGGACCACATGTTTGGGCTTTGGTTTGTGGGACAGGGTTTCTTTGAGAACCATAAGAGAGGGAGATGATAAGGGCTGTATCCCTTACACAAAACTGCTACTCGCTGGCACTTGCAGGGAGATCACTCTCTATATGAAATTACATCGCAGAGCGCCGTCCAAATTCCGGCTTGGAAACTGACGCTCACATTGCCCTCTGGCTGAGCTGCCAAAGTCTCAGAGTAAAAGCCTTTTCAGAAACATCTTGGTATTGGGACCCTAAGAAACAGGAGTCCATGTCCCTGCCCAACAAGATGGGGAAATCCCAAGGAAAAAGGAAGGGCATCAGCAGATGGGACAATCTGGTAGTGGCACCGTGGGCCCAGAGAACCCATGAGTCATGGCCTGTCTGATGGCCACTGCTTCAGCAGGTATATTGACTAGGAAAGACCTAGATTCACACTTGGCCAGCAAACGTCCAGGTAATACATTGTTTAACTGGCTGTAAACCCTCCTGTGTTTTCAGTAACCCCTACCTGAGAGGTATGGGCTTCCTGTGTGGTTTTGCTCAACTTTCTCACACCTTAGGGTATGACCTGTTGGACTTGGTGGAAAGGGGCTGTGCTCTGGCTTGCACAGTGCTGTCTGCATTTGACAGTTTGCAGTGCTGTGGCCTTGTGCTTGCCAATTAAGTCATCTATCACTGAGCTGTACTGCAGCCCCATTTTATTTTTGTAAGTCTGAGTGATTGTCAATATGGATCAGGACAGTTTCTATTAAATAGAGATTTTTGGCTTCTTTTTGAGAAAATTTCTGAAGGTCTGGTCCGCCCAGGCTGCATCCCCATAAAGCCATCTTGGCTGGGCTGAATAGTGGGGGCTCCTGTGTCCAGGGCCTAACTCTTGGTTTGCGTTATGCCCCTGAAGGTGTCTGCATTTGGGGGACCTGCTCTCACACTCTCTCCAAGTCCTTGTTGCAGTCACACACTTCTTACAGTTCTAGTACTGCCTCCTCCCTGGCTCCCTGATAGAACCCCAGCGGGGACAGCCTCAGATACCCAGTACTGCTCTCCTCTCTTACCTTCACAGAATAGGCCAGTGAGATGGTGACAGCCAGCGGGAGGCCCTCGGGCACGGCGACCACCAGCACCGTCACACCAATGATGAAGAACTTGACGAAGTACTGTACGTAGACGGGCGTGCACTCTGTCAGCCATGGCTTCTTGTTGACCACGAAGGTGTCCACGGTGAAGTAGAGCACCAGGATGATGACTGTGATGGCTGACATCACCAGGCCTGCAACACGGGGACACCTGCTCAGAGAGCTCCAGGGGAGGGGTGAGGCTTGCACTAAACCCTTCTGGAGGCCTCTTGGGCAGATTCCAGCTCATCTCCTAGCTGTACTTCCTTGTTTTGTGACCTGGGGCAAGCCCTTGATCCTCAGGGAACCTCAGTTGCCTCTTCTATAGGAGGCATGGGCCCACATTTCCTGTCTGTAGTTTTGTAAAGTTCACATGGAAGAGAGGCGAGATGCCTAGCACGGTGCCTGCCCACTTGACATCCAGCCACACTATAAACTCATGTCAAGTGAACAGATGAGTGCATCAAGAGCCACCTGTATACAACTGTCACACAATAATGAGGCAAGGTTTGCATCGTACTCATTCACTCAACAAACACCTTTGAGCACCTGCAATATGCCAGGTGCACGGTGCTCCCTCACCTATGACACGGAGATCAGGCAATAACAAAGGCAGACAAGGCCCGGCCAAGGTAGGTAAGAAACCCAGTAGGTAAATACATAGCAAGACTGTTGGGGTTACAGATGTGTGACCCTGACACTCTCTCTCTCTCTCTCTCTCTCTCTGTGTGTGTGTGTGTGTTCCACCATGTTTGACTATAGTCAGATCATTATAGACATGGTTGATTCTGTGAAGAAAGATGCAGGGAGATTTGTCTGAAGAGGATGGTATGCTGGAGTGGCTACTGTAGCCAGCATGACCAGGGAGGGTGTCTTGGAGGAAGTAGTACTTGAGGAGGCATCGGGATATGTGGTGGTCTTGGGGAGAGTGTCCCAGGTGGAGGGAAGTGACAACGCTGCAGCTGAAGAGATACACTTGATCCTTGAGGTTCCTCCTGCCAGGTCAGTGTGCCTGTCTCTGACCTGCTGCAGGTGTCCATACAGGTGCTGTGGGGACTGTGCCCACCTGCTTTCTCTGATCAAGGAGGCTAAAGGTACAGATGCCCATGACCCCCTGGTGATGTATAGGTAAGGACTTGTGGGTACAATCACCCCAAACAGATGCCCATGACCCAGGCAGCTCTGTCATGTAGCTTGTGGTCTAGGGGTTCCATGAGGAGAGGCAAAGCCTAGGAATTCTCCCCAGGTCTCAAGATTCTCTGGCTTCCCACCCTCTCTGATTTGCATTTCTTGCTTAGCAGACTCAGCTTGGAGTGCCCATCCATAAGTCCGTGGCCACCAAGGATTCAGCCCCAGAGGGAGGTGATGGGAAGCTTGAAGCCCAGGATGCCTGACTATGATCTTTATCCCTGGCAGGGTGGTGGGAGTAGGGACTGAGGTCTTCAGAGGCCAAGAGGTTGTCATCATTTAGTTTCTTGGTCCCTTAGTGCCACTCGCTACTGTGGAGTCACCTGCCTGTGACAGAAACGGCAGTGAAGGAGGAAATCCCTGGGCTCATATCTCTCCACGCCAGCTCCAGCTGCAGAGCATCAGAGCCTAGCTCTATCCTTGCCTGACAGCCGCAGGGGCGGGAAGCCAAGCTCCCGGCAGCCGGCAGCCGAGAGAGCTGTCACCAGGTTTAAATATAGACCACTGAGCCTATAATTTGCATCTGTCCCCTGCTGTGCTGTCTATAATTAGAAATGGAGACAGCCACAGAGGCCTCAGTAGCCAGGTGGGAGGCCTTGCCATTCATACACCCTCAGCGCAGGGGAGGTCAAGGCTGTGTGGGAGGGCTGGGGCTCACCTTGCAGCTGGGCTTGGTTTCCCGGGCCAGGGGACTGCCACAGCTATCACCTGCAGCTAACATCTCAGTTGGGAAGCCTGGCTTGCCCTGTGGGGCTGAGACTAGCTCTTCTGCATGGACTCCTGGCTCTGCAGTCAAGCCCTTCAGTCTTCCTTCTGCTCTATGGCTAGGGTGGTCATTACATCATTATATCAAGTCCAAATCCATTCTGGTTTCTCCTTGCTGTTACCTCTTCCACATCCTGTCCTACAGGGTCTGCCGGCCACTGTATAAGCTGCAGGCTAGACCCCCTGTCTATATAGTCACCTTTAATTCTCACAGCAATCTCTCACACTGTGACAAGAATTATCCCCATGTACAGAGAAGTAGGCTCTCAGAACTGGAGAAGCTGCCAGCCCAGATCCTCGGAGCCATGGCTGTAACAGTTTGTCTGTAGGGCCGGGCTCCTCATACGTGGGGCAGGGCAGGCCAGGAGGACCACTGGAATCAAGATTCTTCTTTTACAGGTGAGGCGAAAGCGGGTCGAGTAGGGTAGGACTTGGCAGGGAGGAGGGCCCCGCAGTGAACTCACCCGCCTTGCCGATCTGCACAGCCAGCTTGGTGAGCTTGCCCTGAAGCACCGACTTCTCTTTCTTGTGCATGTTGGCTTTCTTCTTGTCATCTGCATCGCCGCCCTCTGCGCTCTTCAGGGGCTGCATCTCCATAGCAGCTGCCCCATCTTGCTGCTTGGCTGTGGGGGCAGAGCATGAATGTGCACACAGACACACACACACGCAGGTCAGCCTGCAGGCTGGGATCCTTAGCACCCACCCTGCCTGCCCACGAGAAATGCTCATTGCCCCATCTGGGCCCTTTGTGGTTGGCAAAGAAGCCTTGGATGGGACCTGTCCCTTCCAGCTGCAGTCTCTAGGTCCCAGTAGAACCTGGGATCTGGGATCAGAGACGTAGTTGCGACTTTGTAGGACAGAACTCTATCCTGGATTCCCAGCAGGACAGGGCTGAACCAAGCTCACAATCCCCACCCTAAAAGGGCCCTTGGCCCTCTCACAATCAGACAGAAAGAGAAGGACTCCCCCACCCCAGGTGCCCTTGAGGCCAAGTTATTGGGATACTAGGGAGCAAGAATTGGAAGGACACAAAGCATGACTTAAAAAAGAAAGCAAAGTGTCCCGGGCAGGTGCCAAGCCCTCATATCCAGCTAAGGGATCCTCTTTAGTGTGGGATGGACAGAAGAACCTGTCGCTTTTTTGTGCAGAGGTCTGGCCAAGCCTCCACCTGTAAGAGCCTCTAAGAGCTGACTTCCAGACCCCAGCTGATGGGTAGACTTAGGGCACCTTGGCCCTGGTGCACCCCCTCACCTCACTATGATACCTGTTTATCTTCCCCAGTATTATAAGGATCACGACTACACCCAAAAGATGCTAGAGCTCCCCACAGGTGTGTGCATTTGCCTCTGGCCCCCGTGGGTCCCTGTCCCTGCGTGACTCAAGCCCCATGGCTGCAGTTACCTTTGCTCTGGCTGCTGTCGGCACTGCCATCCTGCATTTTACCTACACAACAGAGAATTTCAACAGACAACAGGCGGCACAGGTCATCACAGGGACACAACAGGCCACAGACACTCATGTCACAGACAGGAAGGACCAAGCTGCTCAGGGATGCTGAGGAAACCTAGACTGAAGGCCGGTCTGGCCATCATGTTAGCCACAGGGGCTGTGGGGCCAAAAGGCTCTTAATTCTTTGGGACTGGATGTGAGGGGGGTGTTTCTGTTGGAATAATCTTGGCCCTGAGTATTTTATAGATATGGGTTGTAAAGTAAAAAGGACCAGAGTCTGCCCAGGAAGCAGAGGGAGACTCCCAGACCTCCAAACTGAGCCTGGTGTGGTGTTTATGGTTGAAAGGAGGGGAAGAGGAACTTTCAAACCCTTCCTTTCTCCCTGCCTCCCTTCTTCCTTTTCTTTTTCCTGTCCCTTTGTGGTACTGAGGATTTGAACCTAAGGTCCTGTGTCTACCAGGCGAGCCTTCCACCACTGAGTTATTCCCCAGCCCTTCTATGTTTTGTTTTTGAGACAAGGTCTTGCTGAGTGTCTTAGGTTGGCCTGAAACTCATGACCCTCCTGCTCTTCCCTCTAGCTACATGATGAGAGAGAGAGACAGACAGAGAGAGAGAGAGAGAGAGAGAGAGAGAGAGAGAGAGAGAGAGAGAGAGATTTATACTTCTAGAATGGAGAGGAATGGAGGTCAACATGTCCCTTGTTTTGGGCTGGGCAGGGAAGATGATTCTTTCTCCTCATCTCTCCAAAGGATAGGATGTTAGCTACCAAGGACACCCCTGCCTAAAGTCCTGTGAAGTGTACAGGGCGGAAGGTGAGCAAGGGTCTCCATCAGTGGTCACTGAAGTTGCCCAGGGTGTCTGAAGGTATGTGGGAAATGCCTTGGTCCTAGGAGGAAGTCGCTGGCCCTGGAAGAGGTCTTAAGGAGTAGCTCCAGCTTCATAGACAGGCTAACAAGTGCCAGTGGCTACACTGGGTGCTATGGTCTACACCAGGACCTGATGCAGTCAGCTGTGGGGGAAGGTCTGGGTGTGGGACTTTTTACCTGCCATTAGTGCTGTCTGGGAACCCTTGTCACAGCCTGGGCCACTGTGGACAGAGTTGGAGGCTGCTGCTTCTTGCCTGAGACACCTGCTTTCTGCTGTACCTTCCTGTCCACTAGGCCTGTGCCACCCATTGAAACTGTTCTTAAAGCTTTGGTCCCTTAGGAGGGGTGGGAGAAGGTGGTCTAGCTGTAACATCTGCTGCCAAGGCCACTAGGCTCTGAGTTCACACAGCCTCCATGCTTTCATCTAGACCAGTGGTTCTCAACCTTCCTAATGCTGCAACCCTTTAATACAGTTCCTCATGTAGCGACCCCACAACCATAAAACTTTTCACTGCTACTTCATAGCTGTAATTTCACTACTGTTATTTATGAGTCATAAGGAAATATCTGCTATGCAGCTCTCAAAGGAGTCTCGACCCCCAGGTTGAGAACTGCTTATCTAGTGCTTGATGCTTGCTTTGGACTCCCATGTATTGAGGAGAAACTGAGGCTTAGAGAGGGAGGTAGTTTCTTAGGCAGAGAGCTTGCCTTGCCTTGGAGTGTGAATGTTTCCATTTTGCTATTCCCACTGCCGAGACTCCTTGGAGCCCAGGATGGAGGGCTCGTGTGGTACTGTGAGGGGTTCCTGAAGATCTCATCTGGACACTGACCAGCTGTGACTTTGTCTTTTGCACAATGGGGTGTTGTATCTCTGGGAGCACCTAGGGTTTACATTCCTAACAACCACTTCCACAGGCCAGCCTTCAGTCGGCTGAAGACATCGCTGCAAGTGTCATCTCTTGTCAGGTCCTGCCAGATCAGGTGGGAGGGACCATCAGCCTTGTCATTTTAGAGATGGGAAAACTGATGCCGAGGGATGCCCAGAGGCAGCTTGTCCTCACAGAACACCTGCAAATGACCCTGGGAGCTGTGAGATTAGCTTGCCGCCATTCCTGTGGACGCTTGGTGTGTGGCTCAGACCCCAGCTCACTAATTGCCATCCAGAGCTCGGAGCAGAGAGTCTGGGGTTTGAAGACAAAGTCCCTTCTTGTCCTGTTGTAAACGCGTTCTTTTGGATTAAAAAACAATAGGAGAAAAAACTTTTTTAAGAGAAAAGAATAATGGGCAACAATTACTTTTGTTTCTCATAATAATCTCACTAACTAGGCTAAGGGGTGCCAAAGGACTGGGCTTCCAGAAGCACCTCTGGAAGACTGGAAGGGCTCATGTTATCAGATGTCCTAGCTGCTGCGTGTACCCATTAAATCCGGCAATTCTCTCTTTTATTGCCATAGTGATTACAGGGCCAGACAAATAATCAGCAATGCACATGCTGGGGGAAGGGAGCCGTATCTGGGGGTGCTTTGCTGCAGATGGCCTGGTTTGTCAGGAGCAAGGGACTTATTTGAGGCCCTTATTAAACTGGCGCCCACCTGGCCCTGCATTGTATTGCAGCAGCTGGCTCGTCATCACACAGGACCCGGAATCCGGTGTCGAGGATGAGAGAGGGGACCCAGGATAGGGGAGAGCGGGGGTCTCAGAGGCTCTGCTCTTTGTATCTTCTATGTGAACCCATATTGATCCCTGGACAGGTGATGATAAACAGACTTCTGTGGGGGACAGGTTACAGACCAGGAGACTTGGGAAAGGCGGCTTCCCTTCCCCTCTCTGTGAAATGGGCTCATGGTAACCAAAGGGTTGTTTGGAAAAAAACACCCGATGTGTGCTGCCAAGAGGCCTGGAAGCCACAGGGGTACATCATGTACCTTGATTGACAGTGAGATGTGCATGAGTATAAAAGAAAATGAAATAAAAACAGTGATTGTCACGCCTCTGGTGTGAGGCCACACCTAGATGTGGAATTGGGGAGAGTCATTGTTAGGGAACCATTTTTGGTGCTGTTTTGCTGTTTTCTTTCCTATATCACCAAGGTTTGGCTCAGAGAAAGGAGGTGATGTTATAGTGGGCTCTCTCTCATTGCCCCAGCCTAGCCACCAGCTCTCTGGGCTTGCTTCTGGAGTTTGAACAGCACCACAGTTCATATTCTCATTTGTTGGCCTGGGAGAGGGGTCTGATTTGATTTTTTCTTTCTTTTTTTTTTAACAATTTCCAAAACCCATCTTCATAGCACAGTTTCCAGAGAATGCCACAGATCCTTGTCTATGCTAAGCAAGCACCCTACCACTGAACTAGGCCCCCAGCCTTTGAGATCTTTCACACAGGGCTTCATTCTGTAGGCCAGGCCGGCCTCAAATTCATGAACTCCTGTCTAGTCTCCAGAGTGCTGTGATTATAGGTGCATGCCACCACATCTGCCTTCAAATGTCTTAGACTAGAGGGTCATTTTTTTCCCCAGGGAAGACCTCTTCATTTCAATAGAAAACCTATAAGACATACTTCATTGTGGAATCCTGGATTGACTGGGGTAAGAACACACCTTAGAGACAAGCAGGTCTGGCCTCTGGACTTACATTCCCATTCTGCTACTTTCTTTTTATTGTTTTTAATTTTGTTTTATATGTATAAGTGTTCTGCCTACATGCATGTCTGTGCATCACAAGTGTGCCTGGTGCCTGCAGAGGCCAGAAGAGGGAGCCAGATCCTCTGGGACCAGAGCTACAGGCACTAATGAACATCCATGCGGGCAAGAAGTCAGTGCTATTTTGTTGTTTTGTTTTGAGTCGGGGTCTTTCTATGTAGCATTTGCTGTTCTGAAACTCACTCTGTAGACCAGGCTGGCCTTGGGCTCACAGAGATCCACCTGTCCTTGCCTCCAGAATGCTGTAATTAAAGGAATGTGCCACCATGTTGGGGTGGAGCTAATGTCTTGATTTTCTTGAGTCTCATTCTCTCCATCTTTCATGTTTGAACAGTGAAACTGTGATACAGGGCCTTTAGGAGGATGAAAGAGACACAGAACATGAAACACTAGTAGCAGCATTGGTCTAGAAACTAAAGCTCTTCATCTTCCTCATGGGTTCTGGCTGCAGCCTGCAAGGGGAACTCCCCTTTTCTTCCAGAACTGGCCAAGTGGATGATGCCTGTATTCTCATCTCCTAGGGAAAGTGGGTTCCTGGTTCCTCTCCCTCAGCTGTGAGTTTGCCCATGCTGGCTCTTTCTGTCACCTCTGAGCAACCCCTCCCTGTGGCTTGACACCACCCACAGCCCCAGCTGTCTCCCTTCCTCCTCCTGGCTTGAAATAGACCCGCACTAGAATTAGCAACTGTTTGCAGAGGTGCCTTGTGCAGCCCCTGACATCTTCCGGGTGGATCTGTTGGGTGCTTTGAAGGTAGGTGGGTTGGCGAGAGGTGTAGGGTGGGGGGGCAGGGTGAGGCAGGGTTTCTACATTCTGCAGGAGGGGTGGGGGCATGAACTACAGAATGGATACGAAACAGGTCTGGCACTCAGTGACGCTTCTGTCCCTAGCCTCAGCCAAACTCTAATGCCCCTGAGCATCCAGGTGCACCCTGGGTGGCTACCAGGGTACCAGTGAGGACAAGGGACAAGGACAGACACTGAGGATGATGACAGTGGAGAGCCCTGGAGCAAATGGTTATAATCCTCCATGCCTGTGTGTGAGGAGAAGATGATGGAGACCCGGGACACAGGCAGCCACCCCCACCAGCCACCCTGGTGATGTAAGACCCATAGACGCTCTAGACTTGGCACCAGTGATGCAGACCCATCCACAAGCCCAACACCTGTTTGCTTAGCAATAGAGAAGAGAAAAAGACTGAGGAAGAAATGTTTGTCTGTGGCTCAGCTATGCCATGAGTGGGGGTAGAGGGCTGAACTCCAGCCTGAGTCTCCACCTCTGGGAAGTTTTAGAGGAGGCTAGGAGCCTTTTCTAGGGATCCAGATGCTGGCTTCTATTTAGTTCTTGACCCCAGGCCACTTTTTCAAAGCCAGAGCCAGAAACAGTTTAGGGGCGGACCCTACTGGGTGGCACACTGTTTCTCATAGAGCCAGATCTGAAGCTGGGGCCATATGACTTGCCTTCTTGGGTCATGACTCTACTTTTAAGTACTTGGCCCACATGGGAGGGAAAGTGTTCTGGGTGTCCATGTGTGTCGGAGGTTTGTGGGGACTCAGGATAGGGAGAGCCTCAAGTAGAGGGTGGAGAAGGAGAAACCCAGCAACCCAGCCCCAGAGCTCGCTGTGGAGACGTACCATTGACTAGGCTTGTGTTTGCGCTACCTGCAGCGTTTGCAGGTGCTGCACCGTCGGCCGCTGTGGGGTGGGAGGGATGGAGAATGCAATGTCATAATGGAGAAGGCGATGACAGAGACATGAACCTACTGGGGGATAATCACACGGCTTATTCTTAAAAAACACAAAACCTCTGCTGGAAAACGAGGAACTCAAACGGGGGAGGGGGTGAAATGCTCCTGTGCAGGTGTTGCAGGGATGGATGGGTACTGAGACTCGGACACAGAGGGTCTGTAAGGGACAGCATGGAGTGGGGTTAGGTGCTCAGGTGGGACGGCACTTTATATTATTTATTTTATTTTGAGACAGGGTCTCATTGTGTACCCCTGACTGTCCTGGAGCTGGCTTTGTAGACTAAGCTGGCATTGAACTCACAGGGATATGCCTGCCTCTGCCTCCCAGATGCTGGGATTAAAGGTGTGCTCCACAAGCCCAGATATGATGGCACTTCTATGGTGACATCTGTGTTGTTCTATAGACTGTCCTATGGACTGTGTTGGCTCAGATGGTCATGTGGGAACCCCATGGGATAAGGAAGTTCTGTCCAGGGACCCATGACCAGGAGTCAATTCAAAGTGCTCGGTGAGTGGTGCTTGTGGACTAGACACTTACAAGGTTTTCCCTGTGACCACCGTCGTTGTGTCCCTGAAGATCTGCTGTCACTGGTGGTGACTTAGGATCAGGCTTCTGCCTACCACTACCTTCCCTGATCAGCTCACTGAATAATACTGTAGTAACCACCATGTGAGGTATCTCACCAAGGAGAGGCTTCTAGGTTTCTCCTGTTATATCAGGGAGATCATAACTAAGAAATTAACAATCACAGGGGACTGCCAAATTCATCCCATGGAGTTCTTTCTTGGGGTGGGGACACAGTCATGTGGGAAGCAGGAGAAGGGACACTGGTGGGTGAGGAGGCAGAATCTGAGCTGGTGTGTGTGTGGGGTCAGGGGTGCGGTGATGACTAAAGAGGTACTGCATGCTAGTGTGTGGGGCTTCGATGGAGGTGCCATTTTGCCTTGGGTATAAGGACAAGTGGGTAGCGTGGTTTTTTCCTTGTCCTGCTGAGCTTGCACACAGCAGATCGCAGAGGAACATCTGAGGGGGTAATCTTCAGTAGGCATGGAGTCTCCTCCAACTATGTGTTCCTAATAGGGGCAAGGTCTAGGGACCCACAGCTGTGGCTATATCTAAAAGCCCATCTTCCCTGAGGGTTTTCTTACTGTACCTGGTAGCTGAAGGCCATCCCCCTTCTTCACACCTGTGTGATGATTTTTGAGACATGTTAATGAAGGAGAAGCACATACAGCCTCATGTGTACACCACACCTCACCAGACACACCAGACACACACACATACACACACACACATGCATGCACACATACACACACACACACACACACACCTACACACAAGACCATTCTGAACTCTGAGATGTGTGTCTCAGGCTGACATGATGGGATGGGAAGACCAAGGGGTCTGGTTCTGGCTCTTCAGCTACAAGTCCTTCAATCTGTACACAGAACTGAATCTTCTGATTTTCTGTATTCTGGTTCAGATTCAGCAATGGATCCTGAATGGTACCCAAGGGGTCACTGAGGCCTGATTTCTTTATGGCATTGTCAGATGTAGGGCTGACTTGCAGGCGCTTCTGGGTGTCTGTTCCCAGCCAGGCCCCACAGAGATTGGAACACAGGTACAAACTACTGTTTTCCACCAACTTCTTAGCTCTGCTCTACTGCACTTGGTTAGTCTATTCATCCTGGCTACAGGTCCTCATTCGTACATGAGACCCTGTCCCAATATCTGCTGGGATTCTCAATGAGGACTTTGATCCATTTGGAACTCAGTCTAATCTTGTTCTCTCCAGTCTCTTGTTTTCCCAGATAACATCTCAGCTTCACTGTTCATTCTGGGTGTTAAGGGATGGCTGTGACCTTAGTGGATACACTGGAAAGGAGCTCTTCACTCAGTTACCAGATGCCCTCAGCCCTGATGCAGGTTTTGTGTTCCAGTGGCCTCTGTGGGTAGCATTCTTGCCTGAACTTGGGAAGGACCATCTGCCCACTTATCAGCCTTCCCCAGCTCCCAAAGGTCTGAATGTTGGTGGTGTTATTCTAGAGCTTAGGTAAGGAGATGAAAGGCTGACAGTCTGAAAGGGAACTGTGCCTGAGACTGAGTGTGGACATCAGGTAAGGTGCTGGATGTTCTAGGTTTTGGGTTCAGGGCTTTTTGTGTGAACATATCTCCTCTGTTCTGAAAGGCATTTGTATCTCAGATGGTTACTCATTGCTCTGAGGGGTACCTGGTAGTAAGAACTGTTACTTTGAAAGGGGAAGTGGAACCAGGGCTTGGGCAATGTGTCAGCTCCGGAGAAATCAGAGCAGAAAGCATGAACCATATTTCAACCACCTTCCCACGTTTCCTGCCCATGCCTGGCACTGGCCTATGCTGGATGGATTGACAGTTCTGCTGGCAGAATTGACCAATATCAGAAGGAACATTTTTGGCTGAGGACTTCTACTCAATACTGAGGTGAGGGGGAGCCAGATCCTGCTGGCTGCCTCTACTGCTGGAGTCCAGAGATTGAATGACATGCCCAGCATCCTGAGGCTGGCCTACAGTGGAGGAGAGGGAGGGGGACTCTGTGACACGACTGGACAAGACAGAGACTGAGGCAGATGGGACAGACATACTCTACCCAATCCAGCAGGCCCTGAGGACAAACGAGGCAGCTGTTGGTACAGAGCACAGTGTAGCAGGCACTCTGCATTGTGGAGTGAACAGATAAGTGGGAAATGTGGCCTTAAAAGCTCCTTTCCTGGTTTTTAGAGTGTGTGCTGGTGGGAGGGAGGCTTACCTTTTTTGTCTTTCTTCTCTTCCTCTTCACCTCCAGCCCCCAGCAGGGTAAATATGATGCCAGTCTGAGAATTCACACCCACAGCAGTCACTACCATCCGTCCTGAGCCCTCCATCACATGGGTACCTGAGGAAGGTATAAGCCCCATTACGATCACATGGCCAAAGCCTCCTCCCCAAATAAACAAAAGTGTCCATCAGTTTCTAGTACCTTGCCCACTGAGATCATGGGGTGGCACCTTCAGTTAGGGGCCACATCATGGACATGGTGGGGTCTTTGCCAATGTTGCTGTCTCAGGGGAGGCTAAGATGGAGTTGGGACAGTATCATAACATTTCTGTTGCCTCTCAATTCTCTGTCTCAGAGAAGATCCAGGCCCAGCACCTTCTATCCTGGTCTGAAGGGTTACCTCCTGCTTGTCTCCATCTTCCACCATTATAGTCCAAGCAGAGAATACTCTCTCTTCTTATGGACAGTATTTAGAATCAGACCTCATTCTGCAACCAGGAAGAAATGGGAACCAAGGCTCAGAGAGGACTGATGAGAACTGGCTCACCTTCCCTCCTAAAGGAGAACTCAGGAATCTGTGCACTGAGATAGGAAAGCCTCATATATATGTTTTCACAGACCTCAAAGTGAAATAAGTGTTTTCCCCCATTAAGAATGTACATAACATGCCAATAACACCACACACAGTTGCAGACACGTTATAGAGACTCCAGGGTTTTTCTTCATGTGACTGTCACCCTCTGATGGTAGGCCAGTAGTCTATCTTCCTGCTGGATCTTGTTTTGAGTGCTAATCTAGAAACACAGAAATTGCTATGCCACACACTTTAAAACTACTTTATTTCAACATAACTGGTTTCTGTTAAGTCATCCTGTGCATTGTGTTTTATAACCTTCCACATTTTATGCCGAGGAGGAGGGTGCATAGTGATATCAGAATCTCTGGGGCATCTGTGCTATGAGAAAATTTCAGGTCCTTTCCCTAGAAAGTTACTACTACTGTTATTGTTGTTGTCATGGTTGTTATTTGAGGTTCTAGGGATTAAACCAAGACCTTGTACATTTGAAGCTAGTACTCCATCACAGAGTGCCTTCCCAGTCATTTTTGAGACAGGTTTTCATGTATCCCAGGCCAGCTTTGAACCTGAAGTGCCACTAAGGATCACCTTACACTACTGATGCCATGCTTCTACATTCCAAATGCTGGGACTATGGGCATACTCCACCATGCCTAGTTTATATGGTGCTAATGACGGAACCCAAAGCTTGGTGCATGTTAGGAAAACACTTTACCAGCCAAGCTACATCTTAACCTCTTTGAATTTTTACATTTTGAGACATCATCTCATTAAATTGCCTAAGATATTCTTGAACTCACCCTAGCCCAGGTAGGTCTTGAACTGTGATCCTCCAGCCTCAGCTACCTGCGTAGTGGTGATAGCAGGTCTGTGTTACTACATCCAACTCATATCTTAGGATCTTAAGTTTCTCAAATTGAGTTCCAGAAAGCCCAAGAATTTGAAGGGCCTGGAAAAAACTGTTGAATGAGGCAGTTTTATATGTTTATTCATCTTTGTTATTTTTAAAAATGTTTTGCCAGCATGTATCTCTGGACCATGTGTGCAGTACCCAAAGATGGCAGAAGAGGGCACAGGATTCCCTGGAATTGGAGTTACTGGAGGTTGTGAGTCACTTCGTGGGTACTGGGAACCAATCCTGGGTTCTTTGCAAGAGTAGCAAATGCTCTTGACTGCTCAGCTATGTCTCCAGGCCATCATTTGGGCTTTTGAATCAGCAAGTCTTGTTGTTTTGGAAGGCAGTCCTCTACCATGTAGGTTCAGAGAGTGGCTGTGACAGAGAGTGACACCACAGAGAACTTGTGGGAGAGTGAGAAAGATGCAAAGGTAGAGACCTGGTGTGGTGACACGTTTGTCATCCCTGTCCTAGGGAGGTAGAAGGGGTAGGAAGATCAGGAGTTAAAGGTCATCCTCTGTTACAGGTCAGCAGGTCAGTCGTAGCCATATAGTGGGTTTTAGGGTAGCCTGGGCTACATGAGACCCTGTCTTGGGAAAAGTTGCTCTCTCTACCTCTCTGGCACACTGGACTGTCAGCCCTCAGGAGGCAGCAGTGCTGACACACACCGAGACATGGATGAACCCTGGGAACACTAAGGTAAGTGGAATCCACAAGCTTCCAAATCCAGAGTGAGAAAGTAGAGCGGGGCAGCACCGCTGCCAGGGGTGCCTGAGAAGCCAGAGCCCCGTGAGATCAGACAGCGTTGGCTGGGGAATGTGGGAAGTCCCTGGAGGTGGAGGGCATCTGCCTAACAGGATGGCTCTAAATGCCACCGAATCTGGCAGTGACTGCCCGGGAAGCAGTCAGCAGCCAGGTTCACAAACCAGTCTATCACAGGGAAGTGAAGGGTGGCCTCTGCTGTCTGCCCATCAGTCTGCTCTGGCGTACCCAGAAGCCATGCCTGCTCTATGAGACTGTCTAGCAGGGTGAAGCTGACCTGCCACTCAGTGCTCTGGGTACCAACTCTGCTCTTGGGCTGGGAGGAGAGGATTGACTGTCTTGCCAGACAGATGAGGAAACTAAAGCCCCAGGAAAGCTTTGGAACACCTACTATGTGCATGAAGGAAATATTTAGAACACCTGTTGTGTGCTGGCACTGTGCCACATCCCAACCCTACAAACAGTAATCCCAGCTCTCACACCATGGAAAATTGATGCCAGAGGGTGAGGTAGGCTGCCCCAGGACCCACACAGGTGAAGGGCAGTGCCAGGTTCTAAAGTCTCTGTCTTTACAGCATGGGATCTTGGACACATCTCACCCTCCCTCAGGAAAGGCCCCCACAGCTAGCTCTAAAATCCAGGTGTTAGGAGGCTGGCTGGGAGGTGACTGTATTGGTCCTTGGGTCCTGAGGCCACAGGAAGGCTGTTTTCACTTGCCTAGCAGAGGACGGATGGAAAAAGATGTGGGGGCCAATTTCCACCCAAGATAAGCAGGCTTCAAATCACCTTCTAATCTAATCACACCCATCACCACGCAGGGCTAGCAGCTCCTGTAACCTATGAAGGCAGATGGGGGACAGAGAAGTGGGCAGGACAAAGAGCTCACCAGATCTGGGAAACCCCTAGGCGGCTTCTCAGGCCTACCACTGGATAGAAGCAGGGGCCTTGGGGAACACAGCCCCGTCCTCCAAATGGCAGTCTGACAATGTCCCCCAGCTCAGACTTCACCTAAACCAGTGTTTCTAAACCCTGCTAATGCCATGACTCTTTAATACAGTTCCTCATGCGTGGTGACCCCCAACCATAGAATCATTTCATTGCTACTTCCTAACTGTAATTTTGCTACTGTTATGAATTGTAATGTGAATATCTGATATGCAACACCTGTGAAAGGGTCATTAGACACCCAGAGGGGTTGAGGCCCACAGGTTGAAAACCACTGTCTCAAGGACTTGGCTGACTCCCTGAAGCTCCAGTGATGCAATCAGAGCCCCGCCCCATCAGATCCCAGCCTTCTTGTGCTGTGCTCCTTGCCCTCTGACCTCTGGCCCATACTGACTCTGGGGCATGGGAAGCCTTTCTGGAAGTTTGAGATGGCCTTAGGGTTAAGCAAACTGACCCAGGCCAGTGTAAACACTGGAAGATGACTTTGTCTGTAAAAGTCTAGATTTACCACTGCTGTCGGGGGGGGATTGACAGCAGAGCATTGTAGTTGGTGCCTCTCCAGGTGATCCCTGCAGCCACAGACCTGAGCTTCTGGGTTTCTCAGCCCTTTTCTCTGCCCATTTTGATGTGCCACAGTTGGGTGTCTGTTCACCAATCCACCCTGGGGGACGCCACATGGATGCCTACAGCCTAGTCTGCTGTTTCCAATTATGAGATCTTTCTAGATTCCTCCCCAGTTCTGGGCATGAACTTGAGGTTCAGTGAACGCTAAGCTGGAACTCACTTTCTCTGTCTTTCCTCACCTTTGCTGTGCTTGGAAGGGAGCACAGACCTGAGGTCCTCACAACAGACTACCGTTGCCACTCCCCTCAACATGGACACAGGCTCCTAGGGGCTCCTAGGACGAACAACTAGAGCTGGACTCTTCTTTGCGTTCCTTGATGTCAGACTGTTATGTGTCAGGAGGGGATTCTGAAACTGGGATTTGGGGGACATCCATGGATACCCTAAAACTAGTGCCTCTGGGTTCCTGCAGCATCAGCAGACAGGAAGGCTGGCAAGGCCTCCTGGCATGGGCATAGAGTTCAAAGCATCTAGTCATGGCAGCAACACTAGAAGATCCACACAGGCACTTGGGTGGAGGAGGGGCAGTCCTGAGAGGAGGAAGGGGCGGGGTGGGACATGGAGATGAAGGAGAGTGCCTTGCTTCCACATACTCCTATGAACAACCAAGCCACTGGACACCCGGGCAAATAGAGGCTCAGGGAAGATGTGGAGACTGTCTGGGGTCCCAGTCAAAGAGGATTAGAACCCAGTCTTGTTTTCACCGTAAGGAAGGACGTCCACAGGGGTCTTTAGTGTATTCTACTGACTCTGCCACAGTGCCTCTCCCTTTGTGTCATAGACACTCTATGAGTCTCACAGGTAAACGGAGGCTCAAAGAAGGCAACAACGTGTCTGAGATCACACAGCAAGTGCATTCCAGAGCTCAGGTCCCACCCTTCACCTGCCTGCTCTTCCTACATCCTTCACAGTTCCCCCCCTCCTCACTCTGGGGACTCTGGGCTAAAGATGGGCATAGCCCCCAGATGGCAGTGGCCTCAGGTTCAGAGCCCTCTACCTGGATTTGATAGGCTGGAGAACTCGTTCAGGTGTCTGCTGTGGGCGGGTCCCTCAATGAGAGACCAGTTAGGTTTGCTCTGGTGAGAACATTGTCAATTCTGCTCTTTATTTCTTTATTTTGAGTTTTTGAGACAGAGTTTCTTTGTGTATCCCTGACTGTCCTGAAACTCATTCTGTAGACCAGGCCGGCTTCAAACTTACAGAGAGCCACCTATCCACCTGCCTCTGCCTCCTGAGTTCTGGGATTAAAGGTGTGCACCGCCATCACCTGACTTTTTTTTTTTTTGGCTGCTCTTTATTTTTGATGGTTTGCACAATGCAAAACTCATCAACGTTGCAAAGCAGTGCCCAGTGTGCTAACAGGAGCGGCCATGGAGGACACTGGTGGTCATGGGGACCTTCCTAAGTGAGGTGGGTCCTGAGGGGATGGTCGCAGTTAAACAGCAAAGAGGAAGCAAGACGAGCATTGTGGGGAAGGTCCACCCGTCCTTAGTGGCTGGAGGGAATGCATCCAGTGGGCCATGGGCTGCAGGGCGGAACTGCGACTCTCAGGGTTGAGAGGGCATCAGATGTAGTGCCCTCCCAGCAAGCCACTCTGGTTTATCCAGGCTCTGCTCATGCAGCTAGTGGTGGAGACGCACTGTCTGCTTACTCCTGCATTTGTTCTGCTCCCTGCTGCTGACCACACCTGTCCATGCTCTGCCGTTCCTCCTGTCACGCAGCTGGTCTGTGTGTGGCCGGCTTCTTCCTCATCCACCAAGTTAGTTTATTATGTGCTGGGGCTATCTTTGGGGACCTCAACTCCAACTTTCCTTTTTCTACCTGCCCTGTGAGCAGGCCCTTTCAAGCTGAGAGCCATGCTTTCTGGAGCCTCCCACCAGCCCACCAGCCCCGCAAGGTCAGGACAACCTATGGAAATCTCTGGTCCAGCCATCCTCTACTCTTGCCTACAAGGATGCTCCTTGGACCTTGATATCTGGAGGGCGAAGCAAAGCCACTTTTCTAGCTTCTCATAACCTTGGGGACCTGTGGTGGCTTCTGTACATCTCCCTTGCAGATCTCCCTTGCCTGCCTTGGTTCTCACATGTCCCCTGCTCCTGACCCGATGACCAGCTTCAAGGGCTACTTGATTACCGATGAGACCTGGAGCATCCTCACTGTCAACAGCTCCAACCTAGCCCATCTGGGATGCGTTCTTTATCCCATTTCCAAGAACCTTAGGCCTCTGTTCTTTTCTGGCTTCTAGCACTTCTGGCCCAACTCCTCCCTTCTCCCTGAGAGAAGGAAGTGACAAGAACCATAGAAGTCCTAGCTGTGCTCCTCAAACTCCTCCTCACTCTCCCCTCCTGCTTCTTCCTGGCTTTGCCTTCACCTCAAGCTTGGAATCATTTCCAGCTCCCTCTTTCCCTCTGGGCCCTTTGCCTCTGTGAGGGGCCTGGGACCCGGTGATTCACCCTAAACCAGTGGCAGCCAGATTCTGGAATCTCTCTCCATCCTGGAGTCCTCCCTGGTTGGTTTGTGACACTGTTAGCCAGTGACTCTGAATGCTGTCCCCACCAGGCTCCTGCTAGCATCCTCCCTCCTGCTCTTTCTCCATGCTATCTGGAGACTGTCACCATCTACCCTGGACACCCATAGAAACCACTGCACACTTTCCCCAAGGATGGCTACCTGTCTGTCAACTCCTGCAGCTCAGAGGCTAGAACCAGGCTGATAGGGCTAGGACCATCTCCTGATCTCTCACATGGCTCTTTATTCCCAGAATGCCCTGGAGACTTCCCATGATCCCTTGCTCAGATGCCAGGGCCTTTGAACTGGCTGTTTCTCTGCCAGGGATACTTTTCTCAATGTTATGAATTTAGCTCTAACACAACCTCCAGAGTCAGGTGTTTCCTGGCCTGTTGAGATTCTTCCTGATCCCAGGGCCCCTTTTCAATGCAATCATGTGTCTTTGATGGATTTACCACCCCAGAAATCACCTATTTGCTTGCATTTCCTTCCTTGACTACTGTCCTCACCAGATTCTAAATTCTAGCACAGCACAGACCTTAGCCACTGGCATACAGTAGGTGCTTAATAGATATAGGGGATGAGGCTAGCCTGGTCTTCAAAGCAAACTAGATATAGGGCTATGTTGTCTAATTTCTAATTTCATGTCAACTTGACACAGGCTAGAGTCTGTTGGGGAAGTCCTGTTATTTGCCTGTGCATTTGTCAATAAAGTACTGTCTGGCCAATAGGGAATCTAGATAGGAGGGACTAGGAGTCCAGGAGGACTCTGGGTAGGAGAAACACAAGAGAGTTCGAGATGTAACCACCATTGGGGTAGGAAGCCTGGAACCTCTCCGGTAAGAAGCATACTTAGATTAACAATTATGGGGTAATTACTTAAAGCAGAGCTAGCCAGTAAGAGACAAGCAAGGCCAACAGCTTCATAATTAATATAGCCACCTGTGTGTTTATTTGGGACTGATGCGGCTCCAGAACCATGCTGGCGAAGGAGAGCCCAGGCGGCTGGCCGGAGATAAACCAAAGCGGCTAGCAAAAGAAAAAGCTTCTCTTAACAAGAGTCATCTGAGATAAGGGAGTACTAACTGAGAAAATGCCTCCAGGAGGTCTAGCTGTAGGGCATTTTCTCAATTAGTGTTGATAGGAGAGGACCTAGCCTGTTGTGGGTGGGGTCCAGGCCTGGGTTGGTGGCCCTGGGTTCTGTAAGACAGCAGGTTAAGCAAGCCGTGGGGAACAAGCTGGTAAGCAGCTCTCCTCCATGGCCTCTCCGGGTTTCTGAACTGTTTGAGTTTCCAACTGCTTTGGCTGATGAACTATTATATGGAACTGTGAATAAAATAAACCCTTTGCTCCCCACGTTGCTTTTGGTCATGGTGTTACATTACAGCAATAGAAACCCCTACTAAGACAAGCAGTGAATAAATTCTGGATACATAAATGCTTCAGCCTTTCCATTACCTGAAAGATTCACAGATCTTCCTTTTGTATTGCCAGGGAGTCCCGCCCACCTGCAGGGAATTAACCAAGCGAGCTCCTGTTCATCCTCTAAACCCCAGCTCAATGCATCCCTTCTGACCTCTCTGCTCCCTTCTTGACTTTTGCATACCATTTTATGTCTCTACTGTGCAGTTAGCTGTTGGGGGGTTGCGGAGACCCCAACAGCATGGCCAGGCAATGTGGTCTACTAGCTATCTCTGCAGGGAAGGGGTTCATGGAGTTGTTCCACCCGTCATAGCCGCCCCAGCACATTTTTTGTCCCTGTGGTATCCAGAAAAACTAAAAACTAACAAAAAAATCCAATGTCATTATGCAGCCCCATCAGGGCAGCTCCATCCTACTCAGAATAACGTCCTGATTCCTCACCACAGTTCAGAATCCAAGCATCTATATCCTGCTATGCCCCGCTTCAGTGTGGTCCTGCCTCTGGGCTTTTTGCATTTGTTTTCCTCCCTGCTCTGTGAGCTCTTCCCCAGGAAGGGCAAGACTGGCTTCATTCCATGTCCCTTCCCCCATCACAGGGCCTGGTGCATAGTGGGTGTCCAGAAAGACTGTCAATTTGCAGGAAACCATGCCACTAGAAGCTATGTTGCAGGGATAAGAAGACACTCTGTGATGTTTGCTGTAGTATTGCCAGGCCAGGCATGGCTCTGCATGGCAGGCATAATGTGAGCTTGCTTGGGAAAGGATGGTGTGCACACAGGGAGCTGACCCTGCCATCAACCCGAGAGTCAGGGCCACACCAGCTTCCCCATGGTGGATGGGAAGTGGCCACAGGGACCTGTGGGCTGCAGCTTACCTGACAGCAGCATGGGGTCCTTATCCACAGACTTGCGCACCTGGTCAGACTCTCCTGTGAGCGAGCTCTCGTCGATCTTGAGGTCATTGCCCTGGATGAAGAGGCCATCGGCAGGAAGGAGGTCACCTGATTGGAGAGAGACAGGGAGTCAGCAGAGTCAGGTGACCAGAGAAGCTGGGGCACCCCTGGGGGAGGTGCCAACTAGGACCCAGAGTGCAGAGCCAAGATGGTACCTGAAGGCCAATGGGTAGCTAAAGTGACACCTTGGGGCCTGACACAGAGCCACCCTGGTCCATACAGGTATTTCCTTCAGAGTGTATATCCTTTGACCTGATATGTCCCTGGGCCCAGGGTGCTCTGTGGTTCATTTTCCTGTAGTCTTTTCAGAAGGTCTTTCATGACAAAGCAGGCTATTTTGGGTGGACTGAAAACACTCTGGTCAAGTAAGCCTCTAGGACTGAGTGAGGAGTGCCACTCCCATCTCCCCAGCCTGTGTCTACTGACCTAGGGCATATCTTATCCAAACCCCATCTGGAGCTAGCCTACCTGCTTTTCAGTAGGAATATGACCGGCTTGGAATACTCACCCACCCACTTCAGCTCTTGCTACTTCCACCAGCCTGGAAAGATCTATATGAAGTCAATTCAGGGATAGGAAATGGATTTTGCCTCATAAACTCACTCTGAGTATTAGTGGTGCTGTGCTGGGAAGCCTTCTGAGGCTGTATTCAGACTACGAGCAGTGATCGATTAGTCATGTCTGCTACAGATGGAAGCTGGAGTGCATTGGCATGCATGCTGTGACTCTGACATTTCTTATTTAACTGGATTTGGGAAACCTGTCTCCTCTGGGACCCTTGGGGCCTCAGAATATATTCTGCCACAACATCAGCTTTTATGGACCCCACCCCGTTCCCTGGGTTGGGCTCTTCGTATCTGCCTGTCCTGTCCCACTTCTACCCAGACTCCAGATCTAGAATCATGGCTAGGGAGACTTGCCATATTTGATCTGGGCGATGTCCCCAACCACGATCTCGGCCACAGGGATCTGGACCACCTGTCCAGCCCGGACTACGGTGAACTTCTGCTCCTGCTCGATGCGGCTCTGCAGGCCCCGGAACTGTTTCTCTTTACTCCAGTCATTGAAGGCTGTGACTAGGACCACACAGATGACTGACAGCAGGATGGCGGCCCCTTCAATCCAGCCTGCTTCAGCCTCACCTTCGTCCTCTGCCCCACCCTGGGCCGTGGCACATCCTGTAGAGAGACAAGGACACAGTGGATCCCCAGCCACCGGACAAGAGCTTCCACGTAGCTTAGCTGTGCCAAGTAATCACTGGTAATCAGATGATGGCCTCGGTGTGCCTTTGTGTGCCATGCTCTGGGCAAAGGGCACCTCCTGGTCACTTTATAGGGCCCCTGCTGTATGTCTCCCACTGATGGGAGGCTAAGGCTTCTCAGAGAGATCTACTAACTGCCCAAAGTAGGAAAGGCGGGTGGAAAGCAAGAATGCTACCCCAGACAGCATGACTTCAAAGCCACCATCTGAACCATACTGGCCTTACCTTTGTCCTAGATGTGAGACCTCAAATGAATGACTCTCTGGGTGTCAGTTTTCTCATGAGACAGGATTTCATGTAGCCCATGCTTGCCTGAAATTAGCTGAGATGATGTTGGAATCCTGATTCTCCTGTTTCTGCTTCTGAGTGCTGGGATTATACCATGCCTGCCTTTATGTAATGCCATGGAAATGGCGGGCGGCATTGCTGGCAACACCTCCTGGGGCTTGGGGACAGGAAAGGGGCAACTCCTGGGTACATTTACCATGTAGCAGGTTCCCCTCAACTCAGGCCACAGCGAGGGCAACGGGACTCAAGACACAGGTTGCTACCTCACCCACAGGGACCCTGTACCCCGCACTTGGCACTACTGAGTCCCTAGTAAGGGCCCACAGATCTCAAGGTTGTCCAGACCAATGGGGGGATGAGAAAAAGAAAAATACCAATATGCCCAATATGGAGGCTCAAACTGAAGGCCCACAATGCCAGATTGTGAACCTGTGACTCCCCAACCTCTCCTTACTCCCTACAGGGGTCTCAAGACCAAGAGGCATCTGACATTTCTGAATGCAGAACCCAAGACTCCGAGAAGCCAGGGGTCACATCGTGGGTGAGAGCTGGTGCTCTCCTCATGGTTTACATTCCAGGAGCAGTGTCTGACCATCTCCCTTGGTCAACTCAGAAGGGCACCTTCCACCGGGGCTAGGTTGCCAGAGGCGTGGGCAGCCTAAAGGATCCATCCTCATCCTCCAGGCAGCCAAAGAAAGGAAAGAGGCTCAGAGACGGGCAGTGACTCAGCTGGAGTCACACAGCAGATCTAGAGTTTGAATCTAGGCCTGGAATATGAGCCTGTACTTGTCCTGCCCTGAGACCCTGCACCTCTGAGCCCATGGCAGGTGACAAAGACTCATCTGGGCATCCAATCTGATCCCAAGAAATAGAGAAGAGCAGTTTCAAGGGACCCCACCCAATAGAAGCCTCTGGAAGCCCAGGGGTCGGAAGCAATGAGACAAGGTCAGGGCATGTGTGGGAAGGTAAAGGATCACTGTGGCCAGGAACACAAGCCAGTGGAAGATTTCGGGTCTCTAGTTGAATCAGCACTCCCTAAAGGCCAGTAAACCCCTGAAGGGCTGTTTGTCCCTTTGGAAGTTTTGAATTGTCTCAGTAACTTAAACGGCTTAACCAGACTGACCCAAGTTCAAATCTCAGCTGCAGACTGGCTCAATTTTCTCATCAGCAGAATGGGGTGACCATGGGTGGCCCCATCCTCGGGTGGGCCACAGGGTGAAGGGAGCCCTCCTTGAGAAGTGCCCACCATGGGGCCTCATGGGCTCAGGCCCTGAGCACATGGCATAGAGCAGGGACCAGTTGGAATTAAGTCACCTGAGATGAGGGAGCTAAGGGATTGTGGTCCTGTGTCTCTGTGAACGACACCCGCAGAGATACAGCTCCCTACCCCAAGCATGGGAAGAACAGGGAACCTTAGAGATGGAATCCTCGTGTTGTTAGCTCTGAGTGCCATAGAACTCAGACTCCTGACCTGTGGCCAGCCACAGATAGGAAATTATCAGTGAGGAGACACCGCATCTGTAATGAGCATGCCCAGGTCTCTCTTGTCATTATTCTCTAAGTAACATGGTCTCACAGCTGTTCACACAGCTGTCACACTGGGTGTCATCAGAAACCCAGAGAGGACTTCAAGTATACAGAAGGTGGTAAATAACATCCAAAGCATCCACAGAAAGTTTCAGTAGGAGCCAGGGGATGGTTGTATACACTCTGAGACATGAGAGTGGGGAAGGGAGGACTTGAATCCAGAGCCTGATACTCCATTTTGTAGGATTTTGGTTGTACCAACTTCTTGTCAGTGCTCTGCAAAAGAGATGCCTGTCTCCCCTTGTGTGCTTCCTTAGAGCCTCCGTGTGTGTGTGTGTGTGTGTGTGTGTGTGTGTGTGTGTGTGTGATTATTGGTGTACTAGGACACTCAGAGTTAAGTCAGCATAACACTCTGAGATTCCAGACTTGGAAAGATACAGAGTCAAAGTCTAGGCCCTGCTATGCAACCCCAGGTAACTGACTCAGCCTCTCTGAGCTTCCAACAAACACCTAACACATGCCAAAGGTACTCTTCCCCCTTTTCCTGAGTACCCCACAGATCCATCTTAGGACCCTGCTGCCTGTGTCCCAGGATCTGTGTTCCTTGTACAGATCAGAAGGCAAGACTGCAGGAGCCCATCCCTTGCCAGGACTGGAACATCTGGATTTGAGCCCATGTCCGCTGGGGTCCTCTACTTGCCTGACCCCTGACTGTAACATGGGGCCCAGGCATCTGCCTCTCACCCTGGTTTGTTGTCCACACCGACGGCAGCTTAAAGCCTGGTTTGGGACTACAGCCCATGAGTCTGAGGTCAATTCTAGGCAACTGTCCTCTCCCCTAGCCCATACTTTCACTTGTTCAATAAAATGCAGACTACATACCAGCCAAATAAGAACTCTGTCAGCCCAGACGTTGACTCTTGGTTGCTCAAGACAAGGGCATGTGAGTAACGCTGCAGGCAGACTCCCATTTGGGCTGCATGCAGATGCTTATCAAGGTGGTGGAAAGGGTTCCACCTCTCCTGGAGGACTAGAGTGTTGTAGAATATTAAGATGTGTTACAGTTGTCTATGCCGTGGAACACTTGTTTAATGATGCAAAGATGTGTTGCATTCTTTTATGTTGCATTTGTTTAACTCTGTGAAGTTGTGTTACTTTGCCTGTCTAAAATATCTGATTGGCCTAATAAAGAGCTGAATGGCCAATAGCTAGGCAGAGAGAGGGATAGGTGGGCCTGGCACGCAGAGAGAATAATTAGGAGGAGAACTCTGGGAAGAAGAGATAGAGGAGTGAGAAAAGGTGGAGAGGAGGACATCAGGTGCCAGCCACCCAGCTATACAGCCAGCCATGGAGTAAGAAGAAAAGAAAGGTATACAGAAATAGAGAAAGGTAAAAGCCCAGAGGCAAAATGTAGATGGGATAATTTAAGAAAAGATGACTAGAAACAAGTCAAGCTAAGGCCAGGCATACATAAGAAAGAATAAGAATCCATGTGATTTATTTGGGTGCTGGGTGGCAGGCCTCCAAAAAAGAGCAAGAGCTAAGAGCAAAAGAACCCAACAACAACAGCAACAAAAACAAAGAAACAAACAAATGAAAAACCCAGCCAACTACACTAGGCTGTGAGGAACCTGTCCTGTCTCCCTCCCTCCATCGCTTTGCTAGTGGGACACAGTGTAGGCAGTTGCCTTCCACTGAACGTGTGGCTGGACCAGCAGCAATGAGGTGCAGCACGGACAGAAACAGGCCAGCTTGGGCCACACTCCAGCCACCAAGCCATGATCTCTGGACTCTGGGTTTGTGCACCCCAGAGATGTTCATGGAAGCAGTTATCTGTCTGGAACCACGGGGTCTCTCTCAGCACACCCCAGGAGCTCTGTCTTTCTGTCTTGGCCTCTGCCAGCTGCCCTCATCTCAACCTTGCTTACCAGGGCCATGGGAGGCCACTGATGCTGGTGACTCAGCCCCAGCCCTTTTTGTGGAGTTGGATGTTTTTGCCAGAGTCAGAGTTTCAGCCCCTTGGTGAGTGACCTTGGCACACCCTCCACAGACTTGGGAACTCACAAGAATAGCATCTAGCTCCTCCTGGGTCTAGCCTGATGAGTGTACTGTTCAACCCTCACCAATGATAACTTCTCTTTGCAATAGACGGAGACCATTACAGAAAACACAGCCAATCAAAATGCAGTGGATAGATGCATCTATAAAACATTCCCACGTCTAAGGGTCAGGGAACATTTAGGAAGAAAGGGCAGAAAGATTGTAAGAGCCAGAGGACCAGGGACTTTGCTGTGAGATTGTGTCTCTAAGCAACATCATAAGCTACACCCATAATGTTTTATCAACACCACTCACTGCCCAAATGTGAGCTGAACAAGGATGACTCCAGCGAACATGCCAAATTACACATGGAAAAAGCCCAAGAGACCCTTCAATCTTACACAAAGAACTACAGACAACCGAGTAAAACTGGGAGCAGGAGAGGTGGCCCTCCCCAGGGAAGAGCATACCAACTGACTGTCAAATGGTCACTCCTGAAAACATACATACAATTAATATTATATGGACTCAGGTTATATTTGGGAATATATGCGTATGTACAAATATATATGCATGCAATAACAATTGATGAGAAAAGAGACTTGGAAAGCTGGGAGGGGGATATGACAGGGTTTGGAGGGAGGAAAAGGAAAGGAGAAATGTAACTAAATTACAATCTCAAAAATAAAGAAGGAATAGTATATGTCTATAGAGAAGAGGCAATGGGTTTCTGCCACAACAGTTCCGGATTTGGGGTAGCTCTGGAAACTACCAACTTATGTCAGCCTTACCAACTTCAGCTGGAACCATAAGGAAGGCTGTACACAGTGCATCCCTCTCACTATCCTACAGGAACGTCCGTCCCAAGATCCATTGTCAGAAAATCTCACCTTCTTTCTTGCTAATAAATTGACCTATGAAAATCATCCATCTTCTCTTTCTGCCCTGGCTATTTGGAAGCTCAAGTCAAACTTAAATCTGAATCACAGTAGAAATCACAACTGGTTTGTTTGCTTCCAACATTTTCTGCCCAACTTTATATTTGCCACCTCCCCATCCTCTATGGAAAGAAATCAGGGCGAGTTAGACAGCACAGTGGGTAAAGCGCTTGCTGCCAAGCCTGGTGACCTGAATTCAATCCCCAGGACCCATGTGGCAGAAAGAGAGAACTGACTCCTGCTCCCATGGTCAGGTGTCAGGAAGAAGTAGCCTTGGAAGGAGCCTGGCGGCATGCTGTATCATGGTCCACGGCCAAACTGAGTCCTTTCTCCTAGGTGGGCACTGTGGTCTCACATTGGATATTTAATCCCTAGGCTCCCATATGGGTGGTCTTTGGGAAAGGGGCCTTGGTGAGATGACATGGACTAGATGAAGTCACAGGGTGGTCTCATCCGGGGCAAGGAAATAGCTGAGGCAGCATGAAAAAAATGCCTGGCCTTCCCATGCAACCCTTTCCCCCATCATGCTATGGTGCAGCTCAAGTCCCTCACCAAGCCTTGCTGTTGGGATTGGAACTCTCCAGAACAAAAGACATGTCTATTTATAAATCAGGTAGTTGGTGATATTTTGTGAGAATAAAAGAAAACAAACTTAGACACTGGGTGACCCAGAGCGACTCAACTGCCTTCTCTATGTCCCAGTCTCCTCATCTTTAAAGGAGGCACAAGCTGGGCATACTGGAGGTGCCCAATAAATGCCCACTATAGCTTTTATCACTCTTGGCTTAGCCTTGCACTCACAGAGGACTGACTGGGACCTTGGGCCTGTCCTGGTCTCTGTGGCCTGAGTCCCAGTGAGCTTGCCCCCTCTGCAGTGCTGTGGGTGCCCTCCACAAGCTGTGTGCTGTAGGAGTGTCCGGGACACCCTACCTTCGTTGCTCTCTCCAGGTGGGTGGTAGAAGGATAGCCCCAGGGAGATGATGGCCGCGATCTCCAGGATGATGAGTGTCACGTCCTGCAGTGCTTCCCATACCAGCTGCAGGAAAGTTTTTGGCTTCTTTGGAGGTATGAAGTTTTGCCCAAAAATCTGTTTCCTCTTTTCCAGGTCTGGAGCGGTGCCTGGCAAACCTGTGGACAAATGACAGATGAGTTGGGCAGGGGCCAGGAGAGATGCATGCCTATCTCTGGGAGCTAAGGAGGGAGCGGGCGAACGTGGCTGGAACCTTCCTAGGCATTTGGCCTAGGAGCCCTGTGTTCCAAGCTATTCATGTCCCAAGGGGCCCCTGCTAAGTGAATAGAGGAACCTAGAAACAGGGATGCTTCTAGAGTCACGGCGGTATCCATCCTCATGAGCATGCATGCTAAAGAACATTTCATATGCCTGACTCTGCCCATGCTCAGCCCAGCCCACTCCACTATAGCTCAGCAGAGTCATACCACACAGAGCCTCCTTCAGTTGACAAATTCTTAGCCAGACCATTGTAAGCTGAGGAATCTGTGAATATGTAAGCTTAACTCCCAGGACCTGGGTTAGTGACCTGCCTTGGGAAAACACTTTCTGGAGATGTGAGCAAGGCCAGAGCATCATAGATTACCCAGGTGTCCCTCTGTCCTGAGATAAGTGTCCTTGTGGGAAATACTGACTCAGGCAGGGAGACAGCTATGTAAGAGGATGGACAGAGATTGGAGGGACACAGCTATAACCAAGGACACCACAGAGTCACCAGACGCTGAAAGAAGTTGGGAATGGCCTCTCCTGATGGCAGAGTCTGATCAACACTCTGGCTTGGGGTTTCAGAGCTGTAAGAGAAACCATTCCTGGCTCAAGGCCACCTAGTGTAGGATAGTCTGCTCCAGTGAGCATGGAGACAACCATGCAGCCTGCTTCTTCCATGTTCTGAGTTCCCACTTCTTAAACACGGCAGAGCTTGGAGTATCATGGAGTATCGCTTCATTTTCCACAATGAGCCTCCTCTGGACTTTGCATCCAGTCCAACCCTCAGTCCCTTTCTGCTGTGGTGATGATGGCGATGGTGGTGGTAGGGGCACCTAGCCCACAGGCTCGTGTGTTGCTTGAGTCAGCAAGTTTTTATTATGCACCAGTGCAGTGTTCAGCCCTGCAGCAGATCCTGTGGCAGAGTTGAGAACGAGACAACACAAACCCAGCTGGGAGCCAGTCTCCGGCGGACACACACATGCATTACTGTGAGACCCGTCTTGAGGGCAGCAGGCACTCAGGTGGTTCTGGCTATGGCTCCTGGACCAGGGCAGCAAGAACAAGCCTTGACAAGCACCTGTTGGAGCCGTGGGGTCCACTGACAACGCACCAGCTGTCTGAGTCTAGATAACCCTGTAGCCACATGCACCTGACCTCTGATCTTGCAACACTGGAAGTATCTCATCATTTCCAGATTGAAGTCACATGTCCCATCCTGCTGCACTGCTTCTGGTCTGACTTCTGGACCACAGCTGAGGTCTCCTCTTCCACTCTCTGCCTCCATCCCAGCCCACCCAGGGCTGTTCCTGCCTGGCCTCTGACTCCCTCTGCCCTTGTAAGCCCATGCTGAGCCCTCCACAGGGCCTCCTTCTGTGTGTCTGCACAAAGACATAGATAACTAAGGACTAGTGAGCCCTTGAGTGAGTGTGCAGAGATTGGTGTGTTGAGTACTAGTAGGGAAATAAGCTGTGTGGCAGACACTTGGGCCGTGGCAGTGTCCTGTTCTGATCTATGCTTCTTAACTTATTATCATTATTCTTGTGTGTGGAAGTGTGTGATATTTGTGGGACACATGTATGTCATAGCGTGTGTTTATAGGCCAGAGGGAAACTGTGGAGCGAGCTGTTTTTTTCTACCTTCATAAGAGTTCTGAGACTCTTTGGTTGCCACGCTTGCGCAGCAAGCACCTTCACCACTGAAGCCACCTAGCCAGAGTCTGGCTTGTGCTCTGTTTGAGCCAAGGACAGCCTCCTTGCTCCTACACAGCATACCCACTGTCTTATAGGGGCAGAATGCAGCCACCTTATTACTGGTCCTCTCTATGGGTTATGGATTATGGATTCGTGGGATAAATCCTCCCTCATCCAGTTTCATGCTCTGGGGCAAAGGTTGGTTTCAGGCCTGCACAGGAAGTCTGTCATGACTGCAGGTCACATGTCTGAGTGTAGTAAGATCTTCCAGACTCACTTAACGGGACAGCTAGGGCGGGTGGAGTCAGGGGAGGGGTGCATCTTAAAAAAACTCTCAGGCCTTTAGTACTTTCCTGAGAAGGCATGCTTGAGTGGGAACTGGGCACCAGCTATTTTATTTTCTGGGGACTGAACTAGTCACCAGACTTGGTGGCAAGAGCCTTTAACCTACAGGGTCAGTTTGCTGACCCTTAAGAAGGTACTATAGCCTGACTTTTGGGTTATGTCTTAGTCTTCTGTGGGAGCACCCACTCATTCATCCTTTCTGTACACAGTGTTTGAGCCTCTAAGGAACCCGGAGAAGATGGTGTGCAGGCATCAGGTCTGACTCAGAGTTGTAAGCACTTAGGAGCCTGCAATCCAGGCCTGGTCTTCAGGGGAAACAGGAAGAAAGGTCAGGCCCCAGGGTCCCATAGAGCCTCTCTAGGAGGTAAAGGAAGCCCTGGGCAGCCTAGCTTTCATCTACATAGGAAGGAGGAGTCAGGAGTTGGGCCATTTATTTTATAGAGGGTGGGGGCTTCCCTGAGGTCCTGTGAGCCCTGTGTTTGACATGTGGAAGCCCTGAACCCATTGTCCTGTGCTGGGATGTCTGCACACCAAGAAAACAAACCCAGCCTCCTGGGAGTCTCCGAGGCCGTGTGGCTTCTTTGCTGCCCTGTATCTCAGAGGCCCTGGGCTTTATTCTTTTAACCAAAATCTCTGGTTTTCTGGACTCCCTGGAGGGAGGTGCACTCCTTACTTGTGCACACCAAGTGTGGATGAGCTTTAGGCTTTCTTCCAGGAGTGGGTGCTATTGAGAGGGGGGAACCTGTGAGGAGGGAGCTCCAGTGGCCTGCGCTGAGATTTTCCAGGCCTCTGACTGTCGAGTCCCTTTTCTGACCCTGTTTTCCCACCTAGACACCGAGGGTCTTCACTAAGATGGGCTTTCCAGAGGGTTCCCAGCTTCCTGAGCAGCTGGGCAGAGGGGCTGTTTTCACATGTGTGCCTTCTTGGCACTCAAGTAAAGAAACTGGGTGTGTATGGTGAGGACTAAGCCAGGGCCTGATTGAGTCTTGGATCCCCCTGAAGCTCTGTGGTTCTAATGATTGACAAATGGTGGACAACATGGGAATCAGTTCTGGGGGACAGGACTCTGAGGTTCTGTTATGCTGGGGATGCATAGGCCAGACCCTAAGAACCCAGGCACCATGTCAACAGTCAGGGACTGCAGATGCCACGACTGAGGGCCAACGAGTGACGGTGGCAGGGGGAGGCAATCAGGAGCAGTGGAGACTAAGGCAAAGAGCACATTGTCTCTTTGAAGGGGGAACGTGGGATCCAGTGGAGACATCTTCCAAGCTCTCATAAATCAGAAGGCTGGAATCTGACACAAGGTCTCCCACTGGAGATGTATCGTAGCCAACTTCAACATCCCTGTGGGTTGGGTTCCAGTGTGCGCTGTCCAAACCTATGTGAGTAGCAACTGGGGGCTACAAACACCACATTACCACGGCCACTACTGACTACCACAAACAACCACACACTCACCACTGCCACTGACTGCCATGTCCCCATTGCCACCACCCCCACGGCTGTCCTGGGCCTGTTAGGTTGGGCTCTTCTTTTCTTGCTGTACTAGAGATGGAACCCAGCACCTTGTGTGTGCTATGAAAAATGCTTCACCAAGGAGCCACACCCAGTCCTGGCCTGGATGCTTGAGTCTGTGTTCACCTGCCTTAGGTGTCAGCACCCCTCTCCCTAAGTCAGGGGACTTGGCTGTACCTATCTTTCATGTTCATGACCCTGAGTGGATTTTATACTCTCTGGGTGGGGCAGGGATGTTTGAGGACTACTGTGCTTGAGGATCCCTGAACCACAGCTCTGACAGAGCTTTGTACATAGGCAAGTTGCTGGGCCATGCTGTACAGACCTGCACACTGAGGCATAGGGTCATGCTATGACGAAGGCCAGTGAGACAAGCCCAGCAGGCACTGGGCTCTCTCCAGCCTGATGATGTGGTCAGGGTAGGCTGAGCAAACTTCTGCATAGAGCCCTCAGTGCCTGCACCTGATGATGGGTCCACGGCAACCTGGGTCCCCAACCTCTAGGTGTCTAGGGCATTGAAACCATGAAGCTCCAGGACCCTGCTACTTACATTCAATAAAACAACAGTGGTTCAAACTAGACTGTGCCCAAGAGGCTTCAGATGACGGCCGTAGGACACGGCATGAGCTGGGGACTGTGGGTGCCTGCACATGTGATCAAGGAGGGTGTGATGGGGTTGGGACCCTGTTATAACGTGGATGTGGTTCAGCGATAACAACAGCACTAACAGCTGGGCGGTGGGAGGAGTCCATAGGCTCTATCCCTTGCCAGAGGCTAGCTCAATGGGCAGCTCCCAGGAAACTACTACTAGAGACTTGCAGCAATTGGCTGACATGGTGAAATGGGATAAGATGCCTGAACTACACCTGGTCCTGCGCCCTCAGGCAGGTGGCCTCTCCTCTCTGGGCCCCCATTTTCCTTGAGCCAGGCATTTGAATGGCAGTGATGCTTGCCTTTCCTGTGCTCAGAGTGGCAAAGGACCAAGTGGCTGTCAGCTGCTAGTACTGTCATTATGAGCCTCCTACTAAGTACAGAGTCTTGACCTGGCCCGGCACTGTCATTGCTGGGACATTTAAAGTGTATATTCACACCCTGGCTCCTATGCCAGTCTTTGACTGAACTGGGCAGGGCCGTGTCTTGAGGTGGAGAGAACTCCCTGGGATCTGTCTTGCTGCACTGCTGGGGTGTGGTGGTCCTCAGACCAGAAGCCTCTCCCAGGAACTGGAGGAAATGCAAGTTCTCAGATGCCACTGTGTGGACCTGCTACCTGCTGCCACCTGTGTGGTTACCATCTTCCTCAGGAGGGGGAGTGCAGGCTCTGTATAGAGAGCTGTTGGTCTGCAGAGGCAAGAAAAGGA